TACCCTATGTATACAAAAGTGACCAGTATTTGATTTTGGGTGTCCAAATTGTGATGCCTTCATGGAGCCTGGTTTTCAGAAATGCTGAGCACCCACCATCTGAAAATCAGGCATCAGATTGGTTACTGAAAAATGGAGGCACCTCAAACCACAAGTCACTTTGGAAGATTTAATCTACTTTCTGTGATGCAAGATCCATTTCGGCCAGCCTCATTTGAGAAAATTCTTTTATCATTAATACCCATCACTAGGTTCCCTTTAACTAGAAAACAAGCAGTGAGTATCTGCTGATGGTTATATTAATATTCTAAAAATCAGTCCATAGAAAGTTAGGAAAGTAACTTCTCTCTGATCAGCTGTGCTAGTGTCCCCTATTAATGTGGAGTAGATTCCTCTTAACAGCAGGCACAGTGGTTTCAGAGCTCTTCGGGAGGCCTGCTGGCTTGCTTCTGTGCTTTCTGAAATATGTCTTTGTATCCTAGTCATAATTAGCCATTTTTAAATGTGCTAGTGATAGAATGTAAACATTATGGATAAAATCTTGCCCCCATTGAAGTTAATGGCAAAACACCTATTGACTTTGATAGGGTCAGGATTACACCCTATATCTGTAAATAAACAGACCTCACCTAAAGACCGGGGTAAAATTTTCAGCAGTGCCTAAGTGGCTAAGTAATCTAAGCATCATTTTCAAAATCAGCATGATTTGGGCACTTTTGAAAATCGGACTTAAGACTCCTAATTCACTTGGGGCTGTTGAAAAGGTTACCCCAGAAGAACATGCAGGAAAGCACCTGTGCATTCAGGTTGAGATTGCACACTAGGAACTTCCAACATTGCTACCACTTAGCAGGGGAAAATGTCCCCATAATCAATGTTTGGGGAGTGCATTTAATGTCTCCTACAAATTCATGTTGAAATGAGTGGGCTGTTCCAATGAGAGTTTGGCAAGTTCGGCAAGTAGTGTCGGTAGTCCACCCAGCGAGGCTGGTCTCCACTGATCTGGCGATACCTGTCCATTTCCAAATGGGCCACAGTCAGCTCTATGCTTTGGATTTTCCGCTTAATTCACAAAGCAATGTGTTGGATGCTCCACACTGACAACCAGAACAAGTCATTGCAGGTGGCATTCTGCTTCAGAATGATTTAGGGACAAGCCAACACCACTTCTCAGACCAGGTGCACATGCTAAAACCGGTTAATTTGAAATGTGTGACCATGCTGACACCTTTAATCTCATTGAGAAGTACCTTACTTTGCAAGCAAGTACTCATGGAGTAAGGTACAGTTCAACAGGACAGAATGGGCAGGTGGCAGAATCTGGCCCAAGGAAGCGACGGGTGAGGGCGGTGAAAAATGGTCACAAGCTTGACCTACTCACCCATGCTCAACAGGCAGCAATCATGGTGCAGTGAAATGCAGATCAAGCTCAGCCTGGAGAACAGGCCCCCATATCCACAACTCCCTCCTCAGAAGGGCTGTGTTGGGGGTACAGACCAGGTGTGCCTGATGCAACAGTGGTTGGCCTTCACCCATGCTATGCAGAGGAGGTGCTTAATAGCTACTGACGGGGGCTGGAGCAAGCCACTCCTCCTCCATTGTCTAGTGTGGTCACACTACCACACCAACCCCTCTGCAGGTTCACTGTGCATTCACAATTAGAGGCAGACATGTTAGAAACGGGTGTTGTCCGTGTTGGGCTGCTCCACCAATGACGATAAGCTGGGATGTTGAGCCACATCAATATGAGAGGCCCACTAACCACCCACCAGGACTCTTCTACAATTCTCCTCTAGCCTCAGACAGGATCAAGCTCACTTTGGCGAATGAATGTTCAGCAGCGTGAGGATGGATGTGATGCTTGACAAAGGGCTACTGCCAATAACAGGCATTCACCTGTCCATGGTTCCCACAGAAATCTCTCAAAATAGGATTTACTACTAGTGTTTTTCATTTGTACCGAAGTGGGGGGGGGGGGGAGAATGGTGTTAGCCCTTGGAGGACAATGCACATTCTAGGTGAGAGCTGGAGTTTGGTGTCCTACAGACGGGAGACGAGGGTAACATGGGTGTATGTCCAGCATTTACAGGAGGGCTTCTGGTAGCTAGGGAGTGAGTGAAGTCATACTTTAACATGGGATGGGTTCCACTACTGAAGGACGAATCCTATTTCAGGAATCTCCTCCATAGTGGGAGAAATCCGGCAATGGCACAGGTTGGGGTAAGAGACAGGTTAGTAGCTTGGAGAAGATGGACTGGAAGGGCTTCCACAGCAGGGGCTCAGTCAGGTGAAGCAGATGTCCAGAGGGCAGGGGAAGGTGATGCTAGAACAGGCTAGATAGGAAGAATTCAAATTGGGAGTGTTTTCAGAGAGAAGCTGTTAGCTACAGCAGAGTCTTACTGATCACTCTTGGGGTTGGGAAGGATTTTCCCCCGGGTCAGAATGGCAGAGAGACTGGAGGTTTTTTTGCCTTCCTCTGCAGCGGGGGCACAGGTCACTTGCTGGTTTGAAGTAGGGTAAATGGATTCTCTGTAATTTGAAGTCTTTAACTCAAGCTTTGAGAACTTCAGTAACTCAGTCAGAGGTTAGGGGCTATTAGAGGAGTGGGTGGGTGAAGTTCTGTAGCCTAGGATGTGCAGGAAGTCAGACTAAATGATCGTGATGGTCCATTCTGGCTTTAAAGTCTATGAGTAGCAGGAAAAATCAGGACAAGCCGTGGATGGGTGAACTCATATCCAGTATTGTAATGAAATTTACCAAGGACAATGAGTTAAAATACTGTAACATTAATACCAGAAAACTGATTTCAGGAACCATCCTGTTTCAGAGTTATTTCTAGCCTCACATGTTAGAGAGCAGGATCTCTCACTGTTTCTTTTTTCTGATCTAAGATGACCAAGATAAAGGCTTGTAAGAGATGTAAGCTCTCTGCAAAATGAATCCTTAAAATACGGAAGAAAAATCTACCAACTACATTGTTAAATAATGTCTTTTTTAAAGAGCAGCAGCTGTTACTGTTAGACAGTATCCTTAAATTAAGTGATTTACCTTATAGTTCCAATAATTTACTCTGAAGTTCTCTTTCAATTCCGCGGTGTGCAACTAGCTCCTAATGTAGCAAAAAGACACACATTCCCATGAGAGTAGGATATTTTGCTCATGAAAATGTGAAATCAATTTAAAAAAAAAATCAAAACCAGAACCTTTTCTTGAAATTAAATGCAGTCTTTTAGTGTAGAGCCAGATCCTGTGGTCCTTATCGAGGCAAAATGCCCATGGGCCATACTGGGAGTCTCTCTCAAGTAAGGAGCACAAGATTTGACTGTAACTACAATGTTAAGGTTGGTATTTTAGCTGTGAAAAAGTCAAGGGCCAGATCTATGGCTGGTCCAATGCTCTTTGGAGTAAATGGATGTTGCAAATGATCGTCTATTGTATAATTCAGCTTGCCTGGGTGGCAAGATAGTCTCCTTGTGCATTCCTGTCTGTGACTCCATGGTAAGACTGATAGTGCTTTAGGAATTCACACTTGTTACTGGGCTGATGAAATCTCATGATTGAACATGCAACCAATTTGGGGTGTTTGCTCTGCTTTTTCAGTCTGCCCTGAGGTTGGCACTCACCATCATGAGCCACTCCAGACAGTGTGGCAGTTAGCAGGATTCACCTATCACAGGTCAACCGCATTTGCAGATCATAACCCAACGCAACTAAAAGTTTCAATTTGATATTGAGAGTTTTTAAAGGTTAAAGATTAGTCACAATGAGTGAATCGCAGTCATATGAGCGTCTTGAAAAGTTATGTAAAGATAGGGGAATATCCGCTGCTGACCCAGACACTGCAATGAAACTGGTCCTACTGCAGCACTTGGCACTCACACTGTGAGCCACTCCAGACAGCATGACACTGGGCATGCTCGGTGTTAGAGTTGTTTGAAATTATTTAGAAATTCAGGAGAAAACTAAAACAAAAATTCATGATTTTTTTTTAAATCCCCCCCCAACCCTCCATACCCCCCCCCCAAACCAGCTCTACTCAATCTGGTATTTTCAAGTAGCTATAACTCTGTGGGATTTGAAGAAATTAGGTATAAAAAGGCCTCACTCAGGACAGTACAAGCCACATGTGCCATTTTAAAACAAATCTTTTTTTGGGAAACAAATTAACCAAAACAGTATAAAACATAGTTTAAAGCATGAATTTAGAATGCTGCTACTGTAGTTATAATATCAATATGACAGTTTTAATAAATGTGGTGGGATGCAAACACCTTCTCCTTAACTATTTCACAGACAGCAGTCAATTAGAAAGTGCTGTTTATTAGTTAAATATTCAAATATGGTAAACAGAATCAAAAGATTGCTCCATATAAACGAGTGACTTTGAGACCCCTGAAATGACAGTGCCAACTCGGCAAAGTGCATTTCAGCCCCATCTAACTTTTTGTCATAGTCTCTTGCATATTACCAGGAACTGTCCACAGGACATTCAGACATACAGATTTTCTCCCAGACCTTGTCAGCCAGCTCTTCAGCTAGTGTAAAATTGGCTTAGCTCCACTGAAATACATGGGTGTATTGATGATTTCCACCGAGCTGAGGATCTGGCCCTTGTAAATTCCCATGGACCGATCTATTTCTGCAGTCCTCAACTGAGCAAACGCCCAATGAAGTCAATGGCAGTTCTGCTTGATTAAGGGTCACAGAATTTGGCCCCATTTCATTTTGGATCCTCTTGATCTGTGCTATACATCAAATTGCTAAGCAGTATTTGGAAGTGTCTTTCCATCCATCCCCTGACATCTTTTGTTTGGTTTTATATAGTAAGACACAGATTAACTAGTTATGCGTGGTCTTCTTTAAAGCCGGAAAAGTAGATTTTCAGCTAAGTTTCTGAACCACGAACCCAGCAAAGATTTATAGTAACCATTCAAACCTCTGTGGTGTATTGAATTTAAATGAGTCTTTTTATGTAAAGACCCACAGCTTACAACCCAAAGTCAAACACAAATCAATTTATTATAACCAGAACAAAAATCTGATTGAATACAGCAGCAAGCACTGCTCATCAGCACAGTCTCTCACTGACAGCTGTAAAAGTCTGGAATTAACCCTTATGCTTTCCAAGTAGGGGGTGGAAGAGAAGATGTGCAATTCCAATGAGAAACACGAAGTTAAAACCCCCACACAACTCTGAAATTGTAATTCTGACATCTAATGGAGGAATATTGTAAATCAATCAATCCCAGTCTTGTGAAAAATCAATTATGTCCCAGATTTAAAGAGATCTCTTGAAGTGTAGAAGGCGGACTACCACCTCCGGAGAAGCTATAAAGATACACCCCTTCCATTTCAAAATTATGAACAATGTGCAAGACCAGAATTCCTAACAGATAAATTTTATCCGTAGAGCTTTTGTCCAAAGATTTCTCTTTCATCTTTACACACGCTGTAGAATTCTCTTTCTATATGTTGTCCTAAAGGACTAGGTTTGTGGAGATCTTGAGTAGAACTCATAGATAAACAAGTTGGAGATCATTTTAGTCCCAAAGAAGATTTAGATAAATTTGGATACAGCTTTCACAAACATTAAATCTCTTCTTTAATGATGTTCCTCAAACAAAACAGTTAGCAAAATATTTGAATTTCTTTGTATAATGTCACATTTTAATGTAAACATCAAATAATGTACCAAAAGTTTTACTGGAAGAAAAAAAAAAACCCCAGAAAAAAAAATAAACAAAACAAAAAAACCTTAAAGCGGCACAATTCTTTATCTTTATACCACTGGCGAAGGGGAGAAAAAAGCCAGATTACAAACATTTACACATGCATAGTGGAAAAAAAACAAAAAACCAAGTATTTTACTAAATTCACGCATTTTTTTTAAAATAGTTATTAAATCTACTAAGCACCAACATACCTAAAAATTTATTTTCAGCTTCATGATTCATTTAAAAAACCTATCAAATTAACCTTTCAAACAAGCTTAAGTTAGTAGCTTGTCCAAAAATAAAACGTAGAGCATTTTTTTAAGTATACCAATGCTTTTTATCTGAACGTTTCCAAACAATGGCAAGTGTCTGCAAAGAATGCCTTTACTTTACCCTACAGTGGATGGAGAATACAATACCACATCATACAGAATCTAAAACTATAAAAGTCTCAGAATGCAGCATCCCTTCACAAAAAAGCTGATAAAACTGAAAGTATTTATAAGATGCTGCACCTTTATTTAAAAAAAAATTAAATGAATTTAAGCAGAAATAACATACATTTTTACATTAACTGGCCATTTCTGGTACAGAAACCCAGCACAGTATGCTAATGTTATTGAATAAATGTAATTGCTACTTACAATTTCTTTTTAAATACAATTTAGACAAACTTTTTTTTTATTTTTATTTTTTTTAAAGTTTGCACAGTTAACCTCTTAGCTGCTAGCTTAATGCAACACATTGGTAACATTACACAAATTAAAAAATAATGTGTGTGTGTGTGTGTATGTGTGTGTTCTACATAAAAGCTTTCAAAATTCCGACCCACATCAAAAAATGCAAAATAATGGAATATAATTAAAAAATTAGTTGCAAGTCTAGCAGCAAAGCAATTAAGTGAGGATATATTTACTAATATAAACAAAGGGAATAGTTGCAACGACAGGTGAAGCCCCAACTATCTTAGATCTACTGACACAAATAGAAATTAAATTCTCTCTAAAAAAAATAATCTGATTATTTAAAATAGGAGTAAAAGCCATTGCTACCTGATGAACTACCTAGGCTAAGTTCCTGAAACAAAGACAAAGGGTCACTATTCTTTTTTGCCTGCTCAGGAGGAGGTTTGGGCTTTGGCGGAGCCCGCAGAGCACTTGCGTAGGACATGGCAGGCTTGTTCCCGCCAGCATTCTGCTGGCTGTTGCTGTTTGATTCGACGATCTGCTTGTTGGGCATAAGGGGTGGGAACTGGCCGAGATGCTGAAGCATGTTGTAGTTGAAGGAATTGGACAGCTGTATGTTTTCAGCTTTCAGGTGATCCTCTGGGGGTTTGACTGTCTTCGGTGGAGCTGGAAACAGAACAAATAAAGCCGGTTTAACTAAATAGCCTTCACAAGTGAAATCCATTTGCTGATGCCCTCATACACAATGATAAACTGACATCCAGATACTGCAGAACCTTAATATGAAGTTAAAACGACAGATGGCTTGAGATCAATATCAGATTTCTTCAGGGCCTCTTTTCAAATGATTCTAGCTTCAGACTTTTTTTCCCTTAGTCCTCTCTTTTGTACAAGCAAATAAACCCATATAAGCCTCACTACATCCACATCTGTAGGAGACAGAGGGACTAATCCTATTGGGAGTAAGGACTGAGTAAAAACTGAGTGGGAATGTAAGGATTTAGACCCTACAGATTATGTACCCGAACTGAAAAAATCTGACACAAATAACTTCAGCATAAATGTGAATACTGAAAAGGTGCTGCTAGTTCGAAAATCAGGTAAAAATAAGATTTTAGTACCTATCCTTCATAGATTTACCATGAGCCAATCTGATTCCAATGATGGCTCCATCCTGCAAAGCGCTGAGTTTTCTGGACTCAATCCAGTTTAAGCACTTGCTTAACTTTAATAGCAGCCAGTGGGGCAACTTGCATGCTTAAAGTAATGCACCTGCTAAGTGTCTTACTGGATCGAGGTCAGAGCACACAGTATTTCCCAGGATTGAGCCCTGAGAGAACATTACTTTTTTCTTACAGATTTCCAATGGGTTTAGAAGACCTCTTTTCATGTCAAAAGAACAGGAGTACTTGTCTTCAATGTAGTTGTGTCAATTTCACACCTGTAATATGCCAGGGGCTGATCACACATTTCTCTGGTTCCTTCTTTTGGAAATTCTTTATAGATCAATTACACTAATTCTCCAGTTGCAGCTTTAGATTCCCTCTGTGCAGGAACAAAAAACTTGGGTTGAATTCTACCTTGCTTAACATAGGCAATAGCATTACAAGGTGTAACTGAAGGCAGAATTTAAGATGAAGGCATTCAGTACTAGTATTTCTATGTGTGTGTTTTTTAAGTAAGATGACATTTTAGAAACAAAAAATAAAATAAGACATTTCAATTTAAGTGGAAGCTAAAGAATATTTCCTGATGGCCTAAAGCCCAGTATCTTGCAAACAGTCATACAATGAATTCTGAGCATGTGAGTAATCTCAGCGCCTGGCACAGTGAAGTTCTGGTCCATGACTTGGGCTCCGAGCATTATGATTTATTAATACTCATATACTTTAACTTAACATGCGCATAAGTATTTGCAGGACAGGGCCTAACAGCATAATTTAATGATGTGTGGGGAAATGTGGGTCTCCTTTTTCTCCCATTTTCCAAAATTATTCATGACTATTAGCTAACTCTTATCCTGAGAACAAAGATATTAAAAATGAGGAATTATGCGTGAGCATAATAGGTCAGATATAAATATATCTTACTGTAAAATATATTCTATATTTCAAAGTTGGGTACGTTTTACAATGATACAATATTTTGTTATACCGGGGTATGGTAAACCAAATCACTGCTTTAGATATTCAAAATAATTGAGACTCCTTGTTTTAAAAGGAAAGGGTTAACTCATTTGCTGTACAGACGCTCCTCGAGTTACGTAAACCTGAGGTATGCAAATCTGAGCTTACGGAAAAAGTTCTGTAAGCTAGAAATAGGAGGTTTTTTGTTTGGTTGGTTCTTTTTTTGGTGTAATGATCGGAGATTCGTTTCTGACTTACGCAAAATTCGAGTTACGCAAGGCGTTCCGGAACGGACCGCTTGCGTAAGTTGGGGAGCGTCTGTACTGTTAAATGAATCATCCAGAATGAAATATTTGTGAACAAAAATTAGGGTCTTTTATATTCCATCACTCGTGTGAGTGGCTATCAGACTGTCTTGTCTGAGTGGCCATCACATATACTTAAAACACTACTGAAAGTGAGAAGCAGAGACAACATACTGTTGGAACAAGGTGAATATTGAGAGCTGCCCAACTTACGGTCAAAATGATTTAATAAGAGACTACATTAGTCAAAAAGCTGTACCTCACAATTAATCTTTCCAGTTTTTGACTAAAACAGTCTCTTATTAAATGACATTGGCTTAATATTATTACCTATTTTAGGCAATGTTTATATCAAGACCCAGACATTATTTCTGTTTTATGAGCGCTGGCATTTTACAGGGCAATTAAGCAGTGGCAATTATTTTCCTTTTGTATTACACGGTTATAATTTTCCTACTCAAGGCACCACAAGTCACAGAGTGTTGCCATGCACTGGGAAACAGTGTCTGCCTTTCACCCAGAGAATTACTAAACAGATTATATTTCACTGTTTCCCAAGTTTGTAAGATGGCTTCGGATCCTTTGCTGTGATGAGTACTATACAAATAAGATATTTTCATAGCAACAAATCCCTTTAAAAACACCGTGAATGATCTTGCAGATCTGATCTGTTGTATAGCACTGCTTATGCATATGGTGTGATTTAAAAGGATGCCCGATCACCCTTTGTTTTCAATCTACTGTGTTATTTAAAACTTATTTTTGTAACTTGCATAATTTTAACCGGTGCAAGACATTACTTTCTAACCAAATCATGTTTGCGATAGTTCCCCCTTTAGAGGCACAGTACTATAGTACAAGTGCTACTGTTTAGGGATCTTTATATTAGTGCTTTTATCTTCAGTCAAAAGGAAACCAATTTCCTAATCTTGCTATACACAGGTCTAGTGTGATGGACGGCAGGAGAGAGATCACTTGATCATTACCTGTTAGGTTTATTCCCTCTGAAGGACCTGGCATTGGTCACTGTCAGTGGACAGGATACTGGGCTGGATGGACCTTTGCTCTGACCCAGTTCAGCCACTCTTATGTTCTCATGAGCTATCACCCAGAGGTAAATGATACAATCCATAAACACTGCATGTTAAGGCCATAGCTTCTATATCATCAGGAAAAGCTGATTACATTGTCAGTAAACTTAATTCTGTGCTATAAGGTCAGAATGCCTTGGCTCTTACATACCAAGGGAGGATGTATTTATTTGTGTGCCACAAGAACCATTTCACATTAGCCCAATGTTACCTTATAAGGTCAAAGAAGTTGTTTCCCAATCAGTTTTATATGTAGGAGAGAAAGCCTGGGTTAACTATTAGGAAAAACTATTATAAGAACAGGTAGGCAAGGCAACAATCAGCTAAGGAAGGAGAAGCTGTGAAATCAGTAGGAGAGACATTCAGGACTGAACAAGTCACCCATCTTCTATCAGTTATTCACACTGATCCTGCCATGATGTCCAGGGTGGACTAGCTGACCCATTAGAGAAAAGATGCTTCATGTTGGGACCTATGCTAATTCAAACACTCTTTATCAAATGAGACAAATCTCCCAGGGTGGGGAGTGTATTTCACTTTCCTTCTCATTTCATAGCTTAAACAGGCTAAAATTAAAATTGACAGCATTGTACATAACACATTCACAAACTGAAACTCAGACTTCTGATGCAACCCAACTAATTATTGATGTTTTAGACTGAATGCACTCTTGTTAATTGATATGTTCTTGCTCCATATTTAACTCCTCCTGCAACTATAAGAAAACTGTGCTTTAAAGCGATGAGTATGAAACTGCTCTCAAGTGAATTTTCTGAATCCTAATGAAGTATCTTACTTTTAGCTGGGGAATTCTGCTGCTGTTTTCCAGGAGCTAAGAAAACTCAGCCTTTTATTTGGAGGATAATGATATAAATGAAATCTATATAATGCCGGTGATGGGAGGTGGACATATTTTGTAATTGTTTCCTTCTTTAAAAATTAAATGTTAATTTAATGAGTTGAGTATACAAAAACACCAGTGCAGGATGATTATTGAGTACAAAGAAATAAGTACACAGATCAGCATCATATTAGAAAGGCTACAGACACCTCCTGAACAGGTGTGTTTTTAACAGAAAGTTTGACTGACAGACAGACAGAAAGAACAGACAGGACAGACAGGGTTACTAAGCTTACAAAGAGAAAGCAATGTAAGATTAAAGAGAGGCCAGATAACTTGCATGAGGGCCCCAGGTGAGAATGAACTGTAAGAAAGGCACCCAATGCAGAAAGAAATATGTAATAAATACCACTGATAACAACTTAACCTATGCTCAGTCTATCAAAAAAGAAGTCACATGCAGCAGAATGTATGTCAAGCCTCTCAAACAGCCTAATCACTAACCACTAGTAGCACAATGGAGAGTTAAGACTGGACTAGAATTACCAGGCCTGAAAACTATAAACATAGAAAAACTTAGAAGACCTCAAAAGTGGATTGTTTTTCTTTACGTTAGGTGTTACACATGATAAATTTATGTGTGTGTGTATTTATTTATTCATTCATAAAAATGGCTTCCATGCCCAAGGATGGAAACATGTTTGTATCAAATACTGATGCTAGTCTAACTTGCCCAAGTGGCCTTAGGATTTATCCGTTGGTAGCAATAGATATGTGAGGTACATTTTATATATCCCTGTTTCCTTGGAGGATTTTGTTTAGAGCCTTACTCTCAACGTTTACACGAAATCAATGAAATGTGACACATATTGATCCCAACATAGTCTAGCGGGAATTTCAGAGCTTTCATTGCATCAGCAAACCAAAAAGCCTAGAGCAACATCAGATCTGGAGGCCACTGTGGTAAGAGAGAATACAGTGAACTTGGTGCCTTATTTTTCCAGTGCAAAAAGGAATATCAATATTTTAAAGGATGTGCCCTAAACATGCAAAGGCACAACCCTGACGCTAACAATGCTGCAGTAACAGACGGTATAATATTTCCAAGACTGTTTTGGAATATCAATATTTTAGCACTCTGAAAACGTAAAATGCATGAGAGGAAAGGAATTCTAAAGCACTGCAGTATGAGGTTTTTTTTGTTCACTCTCTGCTGACTTTTCTTTTTGTACATATGCCATTAATTTAAAACACCTTAGTAACTAGTGCACCATGAAACTGAAGGGAAGCAGAAACTGCATGACACTGTTGGTTTTAAGAAGTTGAGCACATACAAATAGGTCTTTTAAAGATAATAAACAGTGGCTATCAATAAGAGTTGTTAATACTTAAATTAGTACAGAAAGTTCAGGTACATTAATACAGATAAAACTTAACAAAAACAAAAAAAAAGATAGCTTGTTTTTTATGTGAAATAAGTGTGGAGAAAAGGTGCCATACTGGCAGACTTGTTATTTGCAAAGTAGCAGAGTAAGATTCCCTACGCTGCCCCAGCTCTGTTCTGGAGTGACCACTTCTAGCAGTGAAAAACTAGTTCGGTGTCCATGCTAAATCAGTCTCCACTAAGACTGCCAGCAAGGAAGCCAGTTTCAAGTGTGATTCTTCTGTGATGTACCCATGTCTATCTGTCAATGTACTACTATGGTCTATATCGCTGATGTGTTTAAGCATGTGAGTTCACTAGGAAATGCACTGAGATCTCCAACTCAATTCCTATAGATCACCGTCAAAATCTGAGAGGGTGACAGTAACAGGAACCACGGCTTTAAGGTGAAACAACATATCTCACGCCACACCGCTTTTGTCACCAGGTCCTCTTAAGCACAAACTGGCTGAACTTGAATCAACGGAGGAGAATGTTTGAACTTAGTAAGATTTCTGGAAGAGAGTGGAGCTATTTGGAGGAAATGCTTCACAGCATTCGTTTCTCAGTCACGTGCAGCAGACCAACCTGCTAACTACCCAAGACAACAGTATATGAAAATAGGAATATTGTTGTGCACAACAATTAAAAACCAAAATAATGAACCCTTCAGAAATATTTTGCCTAAATTCACTTCAAATCTCTGCAGACAATACATATATGTTGTGAAGAGCAGCTAAGCCTCATTTAGAGTTTGTCACTCCAGTCCAAGCAGTTCACCCCAGTAAGGCAAGTGGAGGGATTTAGAAAAAAACAAACACTACTTACCTAACAGTTCTCTGGGTGGTACTGCTCTGCTGGATCCGTTGCATGGAATGTTCTGATATGGGGCAGATGAGGTGGAGTTTACCCACAACTCAGGCGATGAATAGTTGAAAGAAGACTGGTTACTATGGTCCTGAAGCTCTTTACACTGACCAAGATTGTCTTGAGGAGTGTTAAAATCTTCAGAACAAGCCTGGACTGAACTAGAGGAAATTCTTCTTTGGTACAACGGCCTGCCTGGTCCTCTTGGTTCATACTGCATTAAAAAAAAAAAGTTCTTTAATTCACTGGCACACATGTTATGGCAATTTCCCCCCTACATCTCTCTTATAAATGTGAAAGTGCCTTCAAACACTGAAAAAATCTTAAGAAATTCCTGCTAGTAATGATAAAGACTGTTAATGATAAAGAGCAACAATAACTTAAAGCATGTACAAAGAGGGTATAGAGTTACGGTTGAGAATTCTTGATTTCTAAATACTTGATATCTCAATCTTAACGTTAGTTTTCTTTTGCACAGCATCTCGCTATAAACACGCAAATTTAGTCTCCAACGGGTTAAATAAGGGAGAGAGGCATTTACATGAACAGGTGAAAATGCTCAACTACAACGCATAGAAAATAACTGTCAGGGTTGACCTCTGATTTCTACTATAACACATGAATGACTTGCATACCAGGATTTGGGCAAGTATGAGGTAATATTTATATGCTGGCCTTTGCATGAAAATATGCACACAGAGAACAAATGCTTTGGAGAACTGTTTGTTATCATAGGGAATAATGCAAAGAATTTTATTTGAAAACACAGAAAAGACTTGCTTCCATTGATCTTGCAGGCAGTGTAGATGAAAAAGACAGGAGATGCATTAACCCCTTGGTACCAATAGTTGAGATTTAAGGACGCTGTAAATGCTTGGGCAATTCAGGGCAGACACCCTCTGTTACGGTTTAATGCAAAAGATAAAGTTGAAGCAATGCAGAAATGATGGTCACCACTGAGGGAAAGAAAAGGGAGAGCTTTATTTTGTTTTAAGGTGGATTCTAATGGTCATTTGGGGAAAGACAGGTGTCCCACAGTTAGTTACCCTTCTCTGCTGGTGTGAACTTGTCTAAATAAGGCAAAGGTAAAGTTACTTCTAAATGAGGGCAGAGCAAACATAGTGTGAAAGTGGAGATTTCTGCAGGGGACAAATATGGACTGAGAAAGGCACAAGGTCAAAAACTGTTTTGAAATCCAGGCACCTTGTTTCACATTTCCTGGTAAGAAAGTCCCATTTTGAGTAGAGATGCAGAGAGCTTTTGAGCAGAGACGCTGCACACGGAGATGAAAAAACAGCTTTAAATAATTAGCCTGATATTACTATATTCCACCCCAAACAATCAGTACTAAAAGACCAATAAGATTCAATGAGAAACTGCTATCATAATAGTAAGTAGAATAATACTAAGTATATAATAGAAAAGCATGAAAATACTAACAATTTTATTTATAAAGCTGAAATTATAACAAATGAAATAAATCTTAAAATACAAACAGAACACCTGACTGCAAACAATTTGGGGCAAGGACTATCATTTTCTATGTGACTGTACAGTGCCCTATCTAACTGGCCTCCAGGCACTACCACAATTCAAATGTTAAAAAAATACCGGTAGTAATATAAAAAGTCAAATAAGAAGACTGCACTGAAAAAGGGGGAGTGGAGGGAAGTATGCATAGAGTGACAGAGATTAAGGACCTAATATTTAAAGGGACATTTGCTGGCATATAAAGGGAGACCAGGTAAATAACTGTGTGTGCAAATATATGGTCTTGACTGAGGCCATTTTGATCTAACTACTGTATCTGATTTGCAGGGAAGAGTAACTGTGTTTTAAAAACCAGGCTCTATCTCTGAAATATGTTTAAAACGTATTTAGTTTTCACAAGCTTTTTGTAAATGGAGAGACAATGACCTGAGGCAGATATTGGAGAATAACTGATCATTAGAGACAACGTATTGTAAAATTCTTTGGTTGTTAAAAAGAGTAAGATGGTCTTGAAGGGAAATTTTCTTCCAAAACCTCCTGTGGCTATAGCTTTTGGGACACAGGATTTTCTCTGATATTTTTTTTTTTTGAAGCAAATTAAACACCTCGCTGTTTTTTTAAAAAAAGGTTTTTCCTTTTTGTCATATTTTTATTCCATAAAATGTAGTATTGTAGCACACAAACATATATTGCTCCCAATGTATCTGCTTGTGGGCACACTCAGTATGACTGGCAGATTAAAGAATAAAATGCTAGCAAAATACTGAACATATTCATAGATTCTTGCTACTATTACCGTCAGCAGGGGTTTGCCATTGATTTTAATGGCAGCAAGACTGAGTCCATTGCATATTTCCAAAGTGTAAAATATTTCAATCTTGATATAACATGACCCGCTATAACACGAATTCGGATAGAACGCTGTAACGCAGTACTCCGGGGGGGCAGGGCTGCGTACTGTGGTGGATCAAGGCAAATTCAATATAACGCGGTTTCACCTATAATGCGGTAAGATTTTTTGGCTCCCGAGGACAGCGTTATATCAAGGTAGAGGTGTATTATGGCCTACAATAATTCTAATGAACTTTTTTTGATGTTTTGAACTAGGGTCCAGATTTACAAAGGTATTTAGGTGCCAAAGATGCAAATAGGTCATCATGAGATTTACAAAAGCGCCTACGCAGATTAGGTGCCTAACTCCCACTGACTTTCAATGAAAATCCTGCCAAAATCAAATTGGCTAATGCCTGAAGTTCTAGCCCTAAATGTAATTGTGTATGTTAGTACTGTAGTTTGATCACATTGAAAGAATGAGAAATAATCTGATAAATGGTAAACTGAAGGGGGATGCACCTAGAAAACATACTTTCCACATTGACACTATCAATATTTTCTCTGTATTTGATTTACTGGGGTCAGTCTGCTTCCTGTATGAGGACTTATGTGATCCTGCAGTTCTGAAGCAACGTGGGGGTCAGTGGGAGTCCAGAGCACCCAGCACTTCACCAGATCGAGAGGTGAGGATGCTCGGCATCTTACAGGATCAGACTCTCTCTTTGTAGCAGCCACAGTAAACAACAATCAACTTAGAAATACTGTGTGTCACAAACTACGCAGGAGAAATTGCAGCAGAATGAAGGTTTTTCACATACACTGCAGAGTTCAGGGCACGTATTATATCCAAGGGGAAAATGTCAGACACTGAGCAGTGACATTTTGAGCTATTGTGAATCTCTCTGCTCTAGCTTTCTCCTTTTCAATATAGAGCACTTAAGCCTCCAATTATGAGCCACCTCTAAAAAAGTACCTTTAGAAAAAGAGGGAAAATGTCAGTTTGGGTAGATAAAAATAGCTGAATCATTGTTTTCCTTCAATCCCTAACCATGTAATTACAGTTTGACTGCGATATATCTTGAATTCCCCCAACAGGAAGGCTGCTATTGACATTTTTGTTTTAGGACACTGGTGGCAGAACACGCTGGATATGTAATGTAGCCAATATGTTGCTGCTGCTTTTAGAGTTTAAAGATCTCCAGATTTGTATCTTAAATCAAAGGTTAAAAAGCTCCATGAGGGTCCGGATCCTGAAACCCTTATGTGAGTAGCCTCATTGACCTAACATGAAATACCTGGTGCTTGTAAAAACATGCAGGGACAGATCTTTATTTGGTGTAGACATAACTCCATTATGGAACTACACTGATTTTCAGCGACACAGGATCTGGCTCCCAAGTTATATTTTTGCCTCTTTAATCTCTGTTGGTTATACAGAAGGCAGGATTGATTAATAGCCATGATAATGTTTTAGGGAAGAAGAGGATCCCATGGCAAATGGCTCACAGGGGTGGTCAACCTTTTCGGACTACTGTACCCCTTTCAGGAATCTGATATGTCTTGTGTTCCCCAAGTTTCACCTCACTTCAAAACTAGTTGCTTACAAAATCAGACATGAAAATACAGAAGTGTCACAGCACACTATTACTGACAAATTGCTTACTTACTCATTACCATAGAATTATAAAATAAATTAATTGGAATACAATTAATGTATATAGTATATAGAGTAGTATAAACAAGTCATTGTAAGAAATTTTAGTTTGTACTGACTTCATTATTATTTTTTTATGTAGCCTGTTGTAAAATTAGGCAAATATCTAGATGAGTTATCCTATCCTATCTCCTAGAACTGGAAGGGACCTTGAAAGGTCATCGAGTCCAGCCCCCTGCCTTCACTAGCAGGACCAAGTACTGATTTTGCCCCAGATCCCTAGGTGGCCCCCTCAAGGATTGAGCTATCAACGCTGGGTTTAGCAGGCCAATGTCAGATCTGCACATACAAAAAGGAATCAGGTGTAGACAACAACAAATGTGTGTACTGTAACACTAATTTATGAAGAAACACAAAGGATCTATATGGATATGGCTACATGTAAAGGTAATACAGATTTCAGTGTAAAACATCCTTTGAATTGTGAAATAGTCCTCTTTACTACTTAACTCACTGCTCTGCAATATCAAGGGTATGGTAAGACTAATGAGAAAAGAGGACAAAGTATCTCTCACGGGTCATTAGATATAAAAACACGGGCGTACTGCAGATGTACAAGCTGTTGCAACTATAAACATTTATTTGCTACCTGTGGAGTAATGGGATAACTCTGATAACTTTACAACAATTAGTATTTGTTTCCAATAATACCTGCTCCAAGGAGACAATACTGAATGAAGTTTGCAGGGAAACTGAAAATTACCTGTCCATCATACCACATCATTTAAATCTTAAAATGCATGAACTATTCAATGCTATGCACATATCTAGCTCCTGCACTTCGTTATATACAAAGAACATAACATATTCTAAAACATATAGTATTTCAGTACATAGTAAAGCTTAAGATTTTAAAACACAAACCCTGAGTTTCTGGAAAAGGCAATGATAACTAAACTACAATCAAGTAAGAGAGAGCGGCATCCTTCCTCAAAAAGCTTCACACACATTTCATTCTGGTGCACAAGGGATATGCAGGTAGATCAGCACCCACTATATACCACAGAGAAAGATCTTCAGGCTGGCCCCACCTAGGCAGAATGAGAAAGCCACTCTAAAGTGGGCTAAGGGAGGAGCTGCAAATCCATATTCATTCAGATCCAGTGGCACTATTATCTTGTGCAACTGGTACAGCGGCAGCAGGATCTGTGTCCCCTGGCCCTGGTTTGGGGATA